GGGGGGGGTAAAGCCTGAACAGGATCCATCAGTTTCCTGCCGCAATCATGGGGGGGGGGCGAGGCCCCGTAATCTGAATAACTCTTCCCCCAGCCCCCTGACAGTGGGCCCAGGCTCCAGCCGCGCTCTCTCTCTCTCTCTCTCACACACACAACCCACCACCCGAACCCCCAGACTCACCGCTGCCCCCGAAACCCTTCTTGTGGATCCACAGTTTATAAACCCGGTTGGTTCTCATGGTGACACCAAACGGACATTCCAGCCTCTCCCGAGGGGGAACCTTCAGACAACCCGTCTCTCAGCCCGGACACATATCCGGCTGCACGATGTGGTGTGACGGTGAATATTCTCCGGGGGGAAACCGTATCCACCTGCAGTGACCATGACTGAGATCCTCAATGAGAGATAGTCATAACACCAGTGCCTAGCACACACCTGAATATCAAATACATATTCAGGCATAATATATATCACATCTAAATAGGTGTTAAATATAAATGTTTAATGTTGATTTTAAAATTGTAGTTAAATTGTTCTTATAGCAGCTTTCTCAACTTCACAATATCACAAAGTATTTCACTGCCAGACAGATTTTCACAAATGTTATTGCTGTAGGAAGTAGTCTGCTTTAGTAATGTTGGTTGGGAGATTTGGCAGGGCACCAGGAGGAGTATTTCCCAATTAATGCCACAGCATCATGACCGTAAATGTGGATTATGGATGGACAATGAAAGCATTGTAGGATCATTACACAGTATCACCTAAAATAAACCCACAAAGGCTGGTATCCCATCAACGAGTCAACCTTTATTTACATGTGCACAGTACATGACACTGACCCAGCTAGCTAAAGTGAGCAGAACCCCACTGTTTATCTGTTAGCCAGGGCTCCCTGATTGGACCAGGTTAACAAACCCAATAAGGGACTACTTGGCTGACCTCATTACAATCATTATAACACCAAATTCCATCCTCAAAACTCATCAGATGTGAGGGATGCAGGAGATGTCAGATAAAGTCAATTATGTTATGACACATCTGAATAATAGATAGGGTGGTCCACCATTCTAAGTCAAGGTGTAAGCTGCTGGAAACCTGATGTTGGATGACGTTTTATAAATAGCAGGCTTGTTGGAAGCAGTGATTGAACAATTTCACAGCAGGAACTTCAGCCCCCCACCTCATCCATCAATAAAGTGAAATCTGAGGGAATCCAGGTCCATGTAAACCTAATCAACAGAAACCTGAGAGAAGATGTTTCAGACGTGGCAACTTGGGCACAATGGAAATGATGCCACCTGCCCTGCCAAGAGAAAGAAGTGCAGAGCAGAGTATATGGGGGCAAAGGCCATTTTGCTCAGAAATATAGAAGCAAAACTGGGGGAACCCTGTTCAACCAAAAGAAAAGAGGGATGATAGGATCACAACTGCCCAGAAGAAAAAAAAAAGGTGAATGAGATAAACTGGTCTGACTTGTATACTTTAAAATGGAGAACTAGTGTATGACCAGTGTAATCATTTCCAAGTATTACTATTTTCAAACTTTTTTTTCCCCTCAGGGTGTGAAATGAGTTGAAAAGGATGTTGACAGTAAGGAAATGAATAACAATCTTGGACATTGTCGACCGGAACAACAGTGAGAAAATGCCAGTGATTTTTGATGGTGTTGCAGTGAGCCTTATTGTAGATTCAGGCAGACACAGTAATTTATCATTGACAGAGCCCTGCCAGGAGATCTGAATTCAAAGAGAATCAGGTACACCTCCCAACAATATGTCAAAAAACTCAAGCCTTGCTCAACAGATGACACCCAAATTGGAGGTGTAGTTGACAACAAAGATGGTTACCTCAGAGTACAATGGGACATTGATCAGATGGGCAAATGGCCAAAGTGTGGTAGATGGAGATTAATTTAGATAAATGTAAGTTGCTGCATTTTGGTAAGACAAATCAGGGCAGGAATTATACACTTAATACTAAGGTCCTGGAGAGTGTTGTCAAACAAAGAGGCCTTGGGATTCAGGCTCATAGTTCCTAGAAAGTGGAGTCGCAGGTAGACAGGGCAATGAAGAAGGCATTTGGTACGCTTGCCTTTATTGGTCAGTGCATTGAATATAGAAGTCATGTTGCAGCTGTATAGGACAGTGGTTCGGCCACTTTTGGAATACTGCGTTCAATTATCTGTAGACAGATATGGGCCAAATGCTGGCCAATGGGACTAGGTTAAATTAGGATATCTGGTCAGCATGGATAAGGTGGACTGAAAGATCTGTTTCTGTGCTGTGCAACTCAATGACTCTATCTAAAGCTCCACTTCAAGCTGCTGGATGTTTCAATGTGGATGTGAGAGCTGGGATCAGAATGTAGAGGCAAAATCTGCAGTGATTGAGGAGAATGGTGAGCCTCTTCTGAAGACAGCAGCTGTCCAAATTTTAAAGGTGCTACATATCCGGATTCAAAGCATATTTGGTGAAATCCTATGGAGAACTTTGATATGATTTTAAGGCAGTGTTACAGGGAATTAGGAAATTGCACAACTGCTAAATAAGATTCACCATTGGCAAGAACATTGAGCATCCTATATGCAGAACATCTTGTGAACTGAAAGAAAGAGTTGAGATATAAATAAAAGAACTGATTGACCAAGACATCATTAAATTACTTGAAAGATCAACACTGTAGGCGAACCCTAGTGGGGTCGTGCCTAAGCCAAATGGTTACATCAGACTGTGCATTGATATGCAACTGGTGAGTGATGTGGCAGTCAGATAATGTCACCTAGTTCCCACTGTGGAGAAAATCTGAGCCGAGTTGCCTGCTGTATATGGTATTGGTTCTGAAGAGTTAATGTCTGAAGGTTTATGATATCACTTCTGGGCAGCAGAGGAAATTGGAGTGGGAGGGGAAGAATTTCCATTGTCATGGCTCACATAGGTATCAATAACGTGGGACCAGGAAAGAGGTTCTGCTGAGGGATTATGAGCAACTCGGGGTAAAATTAAAAAGCAAAATTGCAAAGGTAATATTCTCAGGATTGCTACCTGAGCCATGAGCAAATTGCCATGGGGTAATCACATGGCTGAAAGAGGAGTGTGGGAGAAATGGGCTGGCATATTGGCTCAGTGATTAGCACTGCTGCCTCTAAGCACCAAGGATATGGATTTGATTCTAGTCTTGGGTGACTGTCTATGTGGAGTTTGCACATTCTCCCTGTGTCTACGTGGGCTTCCTCCAAAAGATGTGCAGGTTAGGTGGATTGGCCATGCTAAATTGCCCATAGTGTCCAGGGATGTGCAGACTAGGTGGGTTAGCCATGGGAAATACTATAAACGGCAGAATCCTTAGGAACATTAACATTCAGATGGATCTGGGTGTGCAGGTCCACAGTTCCCCAAAAGTGGCAACACAGGTGGCCAAGGTGATTAAGAAGGCATATGGCATGTTTGCCTTCATTGGCCGGGGCATGGAGTACAAGAGTTGGCAAACCATGTTGCAGCTATATAAAACCCTTGTTGGGCCACATTTGGAGTATTGTGTACAGTTTTGGTCACCACACTACCAGAAGGATGTGGAAGCTTTGGAGAGAGTGCAGAGAAGGTTCACCAGGATGTTGCCTGGTCTCGAGGGCACTGGCCATGAGGAAAGATTAAAAGACGAGGATTGTTTTCACTGGAAAGACGGTGGCTGAGAGGAGACCTGATAGAGGTCTACAAAATTATGAGAGGCATAGATAGGGTGAATAGATAGAGGCTTTTTCCCAGGGTTGAAGTTTCAATTACAAGGGGGCACAGGTTCAAGGTGAGAAGTGGAAAGTTTGTGTGAAGAGATGTGGGGAAAATTTTTCACATAGAGTGGATGGAGCCTGGAATGCACTGCCAGAGGTGGTGGTGGAAGTAGGCACATTGGAGACATTTAAGAGGCATCTGGATGGTTACATGAATAAGGAGGAAATAGAGGGAGACAGACCAAACAAGGGCAGAACGTTTGTTTTATTAGATTAGTTAGGGCATGATGATCGGCACAGGCTTGGAGGGCCGAAGGGCCTGTTCCTGTGCTGTACTTCTCTTTTGTCCTTTTGAAATACAGGGTTACAGGGACAGGATAGAGGAGTTGGGCCGGGGGGGGGAGCGTGAGGTCTGGGTGGGATGCTCTTCAGAGGGTCAGCGTGGACTTGATGGGCTGAAAAGCCTGCTTCCACACTGTAGGGATTCTATGATTCCGATGAAATGGGTTCTGATTCATGGAGCACTGGCACCAGTCTTGGGCAAAGAGGGAGTTGTTCCACTGCCACGGGCTTCACTTGAAAGATGCTGGAACCAGTGAATCATATAACAAGGATTGTAGGTAGGTTTTTAAACTCATTACTTGGGGGAGGGTTCAATTGAAGGGAAGTTTAAAAGAATCAACAGGAAAGCAGAGGTACAGGGTAGTGAAGAGGTGAACATAATCAAAGTATGATAGGAAGGGGCAGAGAACATAAACAGATGAGTGCAGCAGAATTTGGAGCTGGATAAAGTAGTAATGGTAAAATATCAAGGCTTAAGGTTTTTGTTTTATCTGAAAGCATGCAGTATTTGTAACATGATAAAGGATTTGACGGTGCAAATAGAAATAGACATGGGGACATGTGCTTGGAACTCAATATTCAAGTGTATTTGATGTTCCAGGAGAAAAAACAAATAGGATGTGGTGCAGCTTTGTTAATAAAGGAGGATATCAGCGTGGTGGTGAGCACTGATATAGATGCAATAGATCACAGTTTGGAATCAGTTTGGGTGAGAAAAAAGAATTTCAAGGGAAAGAAGTCCCAGATGGGAGTCGTCAATAGGCCCCCCCATAGCATTGCCTCACAGTGAGACAACGTATATATCAGGAAGTAATAGAGGCATGTAAGAAAGCCTCTACAATTATCCTGGGTGATTTGAATCTGCACATTGACTGGACAAATCAGATGGGTGAAATTAACATGGAAGGTGGAGAGTGTATCATTGCATCATTGTTTCTCAGAGCAGTATGTTGCACAACCTACCCAAGAACTGAAGAAAGGTCCCAACCTGAAACATCAACTTTCCTACTCCTCTGATGCTGCCTGGCCTGCTGTGTTCCTCCAGCTCCACACTGAGTTATCTCAGACTCCAGCATCAACAGTTCTTACTATCTCTACCCAAGAACTGGCTCTTTTTAGATCTAATGTGACAATATTATGGCTTTAAAAAGTTATTTTGGCCTTTTTTTTGAAGAGAGATTTTAAGGCAGAGGTGATGAACAGTCTATGAGAAGATAAAAAATTTGTGAAGCCTTGGGTTTTTTAAAAAAAAAGTTGGAACAAAAGATCAGTCTGAACGGGCGTGATAAATCTTCCACCCACCGATTTTTGGTTTACCTTTCAGCAGTTGCTGTTGGTGGTCTTGAAGA